TAGCCGAAAACCCCGCGATTTCGCCATGATGAGAGCGTGTGAATGAATGAATAGCAAGCTGCATCAGTTCCTTAAATACCATCTTCCCTGAATTTGCGTTCAAGTTCAGTACGTAATCGGTTTAATAGGTAAACCGCACGAGGTTGCTCGGAACCGGATTGAATGCGACTCGACTTATTTCCACCGAAACTGTTTTACGTCGTAGCATGTAGGTGTGGCGTATATAAGCTTGTTTGGAGTATTCAAGTAATTGTATTTTCATTTTATCAGCAATGCATTCTCAACTTTCAGTCCTTGCTACTAATAATACTTACATTTACACAACATCTGTTGGTTAGGCGTTTTTGCTTGTTTACGAAATTCTTCTGAATTGACAGCAAAAAAGGAGAAAATGTATATGGTTTCATTGTTAAACACAATATTCAGAAGTGGTATTTGCAACCTATGAAGTGTTGATACGGCTACCGTTTAGTAAAAACACGGAGATACAATAACAGGGACTTCAAAATATGTTACGTGGCGGAACTTCAAATTAAAACAAAATTATCTTTTCCATTCTCAATAACTTTTTCCACAAGTTATTTCCTGAACATTTCACATTAGGGGTGAATTCAGGTAATGTGGGACAGGTAAGCTATGATAAGTTATGTTTACTTCCCGGGCTCCCGGCTAAAGAAGATCCAATTAGAATAGTTGTTATCGGGAGCTGGTATAGAAAGCACATGATTCGATTTTATTGGTCTGAGGTCACAGTTGAGGACGAGGTAAGTGTTTTGAGGGAAAGTCCGTCAGAAATCGCAGTTTGAGTTGAATGACATGTGCTTTTTGATTGTATTGATATTAAGGTTGTAAATCTTGCACCTAATTTTTATGTAATTATGTTTATGATATACTACTGCAGTAAATGAGATACTTTAAATTGACAAAGTTCTGTTTAATTTTTTAAACAGAGTTATTTTTCAGCTGTCCCACTTTACCAAACTAATTAGGGAAAGTGGGACAGTATGTTTCAGGTAATGTGGGACAATTTTATACGCTCTCCCAAGAAGAGAGTAAGTACATATTTGACAGGATGGAGTAACAACTCCTAAATATATTCAGTAACTATACATAATATATAAATAATTATTTTTATTTATTTATGAAATTGGAAAAAATTGCCAACTTGAATTTGTTGAATTGTTTTAGTGTCTGATGGCACCAAGGCAGAGGGAGGCAGAAAAGAAGGTTAGAGAGGTGAAGAGGCAGGAGGAGGACTAAATGGTTACAAGCAACTGTAGTTTTTACTGTTAGTATAAGCTTTACATCTGTTGGTTTAGGTATTTTCTACAAAACAAAATCCAAAATGAAATTAATGTAATGGATTATGACTTTTTTCAATGACTATTCTAGATAAAAAAAATAATCAACAATTAATGTTCAACTGTTCCTTGAGCTGTTTTGTCTATTAGACTTGCAAAACCCTTTGCAAATTATTCAGTATTGATGTATTGCACCTATATTCAATATTGATGTATTAAATAGTGAGTGTGTGCACCCTTCTGGTGTGTTGGCGACTGCCCAGGATTGGTTCCTGCCTGCGCCCCTTGTACCCGTGATAGGTTCCGGTCCCCCCTGCGACCCCAGTTGGGATTAAGCGGTTTCAGACAATGGATGGATGAATGGATGTATTAAATCAGGGGTCTCCAGCTCCGGTCCTGGAGAGCTACTATCCAGTAGGTTTTCTGTCCCACTTGGCTTCTGATGAGCCACAGCTGCTCCTGGTATTTACCTGAGAACAGGTGTGGCTGATCAGAAGCCGGGTATGACAGAAAACCTACTGGACGGTCACTCTCCAGGACCGCAGTTGGAGACCCCTGTGTTAAATAAACGCCTGTCCCACTTTACCTTACGGGTGCAGGGACTGTATAGACCTGTATCACAGCCCCCACAAGCAATAAATTTCATTTTCTTCTTTTGATGTGATAAGTAGACATCTTAAGGATTGCAGAAACTTTACCTGAATTTACAGTAAATAGTATGCAAGTTGTTCCCTGCCTTATGCCCATTGGTTTTGGAGCCCCCCCCCCATGACCCTGAATAGGACAATGTCAGAAAACAGATAGATGGGTTAGTCACATAAACATAAGGAATCTGTGCTTCTTAACAGTAAAGCACAAGATGGTCTTGAAATCCTTTATTTTATTCATACTTTTAATACCTTTAAAGCTAACTGATTAAAAATCTTCATTCAATTTGGTATTTCATCCCAACTTCTATTGTCAACAAAATTGGAGATCTTTCTTTTCATTTGACACAGAACTTTATACCAAGCAGATTGTCAGTCAAATTGTAAAAATTCTATTAGCAAGACCTTCTATAGCCTTGGAAATTGTCTTGTGCCCACAATTTCTCACCTCACAAAACTTTTCTCTGGAAAACCACAATATACTTGTCAGTGACAAATCTTTATTCTTTCTTAAATGGTTCCAAAGAAATACAATTTATATTTTCAGTCTTTCTGATGAATTTGGGAACATGCTATTATATGAACAGTTTATATCTGGTTTTCAATACCTTTCAAAGAATTTAATTCTTTAACTCAAGTTCTTCCAAATGGTTTAATCCAATTTGAAAAGCCACTTGATTTATGGTGAGATTAAAATATGCGTAACACAGTTTTGTCGATGATGGATGAAATTAAAACAACTGATATAAAGTGTAATAATAAGCATATTTGCCAAACTTTTCAAAGAAAGAATAAAACTTCCTAGAGGCAAGTTTTCTGGAGGTCTTAAACTCAAACACCTTGTAAGTATTGTATTTCAAACAAGGCTAATGAGGTACATTTTAAAATTTTACATAAGCATTTTTTATTGTGAATACCCAGAAGATTTTGGACATATCTAGAGACTCACTTTTTTGAAGACACTCATTTTGTCTACTCTTTAAATCTTTGTGATATTATCTGCTGCAGAAATAATCTAGATGATCGTTAGGACAGCAAAATATCGAATCGCGATTTTTCTGACCTAATGATCGTGATCCTGAATTTCTGACTAAATCACCACCTAAGTTTTCTTATTTTCTCAAAGACCCAATATTCTCTATTTAAGTCGCTCAGATTATTAAACAACAAACTATTAACCATTACAGATTTTTCCCTGAATGCTTTTCTCTGTGCATGTGTTCAAATTTTCAAGTTCAGTATATTTTAATTATTTCCCTTTGATACCTTTGTCTGACGTAACCCAAGTCGCCAATATAGACTCACAATCCACTCACGACATACAATTTCAACCCTTCCGTCATCACAACCTGGCAACCCACACCCTGATTCAAGGGGTGCGCGCAGGTTTGTTACACAGTTTTTAACTGCAGTGTTTCTGTGATAAACTTATGTTGATATTTTGTCATACCGTAAATGGAAATGTATAAAAATATAAATCAATATGGTTATTTATTTATCTATCCACCCCCATGTCAAAAAACTCCCTTATTTTGAAACCCAAATGTTAGCAGGTATGCATATGTGAAACTAGTTCTAAGCATCTCTTTAAATGTAAAAAAGACACAGCAAGAAAAAAATACTGCAATAGCAGAAACAGCTTTTAGTTCATACGCTTAACGCACAAGTTTCATAGCAAAAAAAAATGGCATATATGGTTTTTATAATTGTTTATAAGCAACCCACCCTTCCAACCACAACAGCTCCCTGTACTCCGGCCACAATGGCCTCCGGAAATGATGTTTTCTTGCTCAGTCATGCGCAATAATCTACTTCCTGTTAATGTAGACAGGTGCTTGAAATCAAAGTAATAAAAATACGAAAACTATATTAACATGTCGTGACTACTCTGTCGGGCGTATACAGTTCACGTAATGAATTTTAAATATAAAAACAAGTGAGCGCCACGAAATTGTCGCTAATGGGCGGTGTCGTCACTTGTAACTGGTACACAAGGAAGGGACTGAGCGGGACTGAATACCGAATAAGCTCTTCGCAGTCTGCAAGGTTGCTGGTGTGTTTAAGACAATCAGTGCTGCGCAGACATGCTTCAGCGTCAACGCACATGTATTCTCTCTGTGTAAAAAGACTACTCAACGACCATTGTAATTAAGCTGGTGAAATATAAGATATATTGTGAGATAAATTAATAAAGTTGCAAAAAGTACAATAAATATACAATTAAAATATTTTGAAAGTTTAAACTTTATTAGTTCACATATAGCTGGGAAAAGGGGTGGGGCATTGCACGTTAAAAATACTGAAAGGGAAATTGTTGCTTTTAATATGGCTTTAAGTTAATGACGTCGCCCTCTTGGATGCTTTCCTCATAGAAGCACGGCAGCTCAGCCGTAATTGTTCGAAGTTGCAAAGCGGCGCGGCCTGCGAGGTGGTTGCGTGAAGCACATACGCCAACAGCACCCAATTGCTCGCTGGCTGTGTTCATTCCCGTTCGCGTTGGGGGATGGGGGATGGGGGACGGGGTTGGGGACTGGAAAGCTCTCGTGGTGCTACAATTTTAGTGCTTGTTTCAAATCTTCCACTGCCTACCCAACTAAGTTATTTGGCGCAAACCGCCCCATCTTATATTTATTCTTGGAAAATAATAGAATAAGAGTGGAATAGCCTTGTGATTCTATAGTGTGAGCAGGAAAACGGAAAAAAAAATGTATTCCAGCGGAGCAGCTGGTGGTGGTGGTGGTGGTGGTAAGTCATTTCTTCGGCTAGCTTGCAGGCTAGTTTTGGCATGGCTGTAGTGTGCTTGTTTGTTGGAATGGGTATGTTTCTGAGGTCAGATTGTTGTTCTGGGTGAATATTTGGTGCTTGTAACGTTTTCCCGTCCCACGCTGCTTTTCAAAGCTCGTTTTGACCTGACTCGCAAGGCTGCATCAGACGAGCGCGGGGAGCTCGGCTAGTTATTAGCTACCAGGTTGTCCCGTATTTCCAGACCCGTGAACCCACATGTTTCGGGTTATCGGTGGCCTCCCAGAAATTACTAAACAATTTTTTTTTCTAACCTGTAAATATGAAATGTCTATATTGTGATTATCTGTCGCCGGCGCGCGCTGGTTTTCTGTGCGCGCGGCGGGTAGCGTACCGATATGGCGAGGCACTCCGTTAGCCGCCATCTGGCTAAATAGCTGCCTTCGCCTGCTCTTTTTCACGATGGAAGCACGTTTTGCGTTTGGCTGGCCACCAAATACTTTTTAAAAGTCGTCGTTAAACTTAAGCGACGGACGCCGGGCCGTTATATGTAAGTTTTCCGTGTATCTCTGGTAACGGGGTTAGCTATAGGTGACCCAGTGGTGTCGTGTAGCGTCTAACGCCGAAAACTACGGAAAGTTTATCGTTACATTAACCAGTTAATGTTGATACGTGGATAGTCCGTTTGTATTTGAAATATTTATGTATCTATCTATAGAGAGAGTTGGGGGGTTTTGTGAAGGCTTGCTGCGTTTCAAGGGTTTACTTTTCTAAAGAATACACAGGTTACTGTAAAATGCATATTTGTAGTTGTCAAGACATGCAAACAAAGTATTATTTGTACCGAAAGAGCAGTGGTAACATTGAAAGTGAACTATATTTGTTTTCTCATATTTCCTGTTTGTGTCTGGCTACATAAACATCGCTCCCGGTAATAAAATGCCAGATAAAACAGTTTCCCGGCCCTCATGGACGTGCAGTCGAGTTGTTTTGAAACAGCCGAGTCGTTTATTGTAGATCAACAAAGCAGATGACAGCATGCGTTTTGTTGTGAGATGGTTGGAACTTCTCCGGGGCGTTGTCGATTAGGGGTACAATTTAAAATAGCGTCTGTTGTAAAAGTGAGGAATGACAGTGTGAACGATTCTCTTTTTTACCTATCCAAGAAGCTGGTATCTTTATGGGATGGGGGTGTGGTGTAGGACCTGCTCCGCAAAGATATTGTGCTGGAGCCATGCACAGAAGGTGATCGTTGGCGTGATCGTCTCTGTTTTGGGGTGATAAAGGGGTGGGTTTGAGTCACATTTTAAAATTGAAAGTAAGTGGCATATTTATGAAATGTCATCTGCCACTGATGATTTCATGCAGTTTCTTGACGTCAGGCAGTCCGGCATCAATATACTCACAATTTTTGCCAAACTAAGCTTCTTGTCATACATCATATGGCTTCTTAAGAAACGAGTATTAAAAGAGTGGTTCTTTTGATGCTGTTGGAAGTGTTTGTGTGACCGCTTAAGTTGGGGATAGTTAAACTTTCTTTTTAGTGTTATAGCTTAAGGGTCAATCCACACACCACACAAAGCACAGCACACATTTAAGGTGTATGTGGTGAGATGTGTGAAGGACCCCTTTCCATTTGGTTAGTTCGTTCTGGTAAGCTCATTGGAAGTGGTCTCTAGTAGGATTTCTCCACAGTGGCCAGGGACTGTCTTGCAGAAATGTTGTTTGTTGTGGTGGTGTTTAAGTGTGCAATATGAATCAATAGGCTTGAGAAGGATGTCCATGTAATATTTTGTCTTTTTTTTCCTCCTTTACTGAGCATCATCACTGTACCTGAGACTTAGTTCTGTGTGTGATTGTAATGCTGAAATTCTGTTAATATGCAGCTATCACCAGTGGGAGCCTTTAATAAATATACAGTAGTATCTTGCAGGTGAACCACTTTGTTTAAATTTAGAATATGCTACGTCTGTGAAGCTTCATTTCTTTTTGTTGCAGTCCTTTTGAAAATCACCCCTTCCTGAATTATTATTATATCATATATTTTTTCACAGGTAGATCTTTTTGTTTCATTGTGATCTGTAAGAATTTCATATGACTAATGGTTGGTCCGACGACTAGGTTTATACTGTTCTTGCTGAATTGCTAAACCTTGTGTCTGGAGTTCCATTAATACAGGCTCATTTTAATTTTTTTAAACAAAGTCCTTTCTAAATATGCAATTATTTTTCCTGAATTTCTCAAATTCAAGTCTTTACTCTGCATACATTCTTTAAGTTTAACTTTGTGGCTTTTGAAAAATTTGCTCCATCATAACCAAAGGGTGAAAGTTTAAATTTCCTACGTTGGGTCAAGTTGACTCCTTTCCAGTTTGAGTAGATGCCCATTAATTAAAGAACTTCTGGCTGATCAGTGTAATATTTGTCATATCCTTAGTATGGTGACCCATTGAGGAGAACATTCATATGCCGAGTTAGTCCAGCCACTAATTATGTATGAATAAAACTTACAATTGATGAAGAAATATTTGCAAATGCTCTATCCTATGTCTTGTGGTATGCATGTTTTTGTAATTTCTAAATTTCTGGGATGGTGGTGTAGCAGTTCTGCTTGAATAATCCAGATGTTGTGGACTGTTTTGTTTATATATTTGTACATCATAGATTGGCTGATCAACAGTAGTACTGTGCTGCACAGTTAACTAAACTTCTTAGCCCATTGAACTTGGCATGCAATGAAATGTACATGAGTTAATAGTGTGGGCAATGTAATTGATGGGTTTTATGAAATAGATTTTCAGATGTGCTGCTTGTCTTACCATAAATGTTGAGGTCTTAGTTGCGTGATATTGACTGGTAAATGGCAGTTTCAGCCTGAATTGCTAGTGAGGTTGTATACTGATGCGTCAAGATAGTGGTTATTCTTTTTGGGTGTTTCTGACTTTTCCATAAACAGCTGTGGAAAATAGATAAGATACTGTAAAACAGGATGTCTATCATGTAACTTTAAAGATGCCATTCAATAATTTTAAAAAGTTCAGCCATACCTGAAATGCACCCTGATCATTCCATAGGTGAACAGCTATATGTTCACAAGTCTGGTGTAAAGTTGAAGACTTAATAATACCACTGACACATCATTTTGCTTTTTTCTCCTCTTGCTTCTGTTATAGGATCGCCCCCTCCACCGGTGACAGAATATGTGTTCAAACCCCCACAGCGACCGGACTTTGGCACCATGGGCAGGTCCATCAAGCTCCAGGCTAATTTCTTCGAGATGGAAATACCAAAGCTTGACGTGTACCATTATGACATAGATATCAAGCCTGAGAAATGTCCACGCAGAGTTAACAGGTGCGCCCTATGATGCCCTAAAATTATTTTTCGCTCTCTCTCAAAATTAGCAACATTATTTTACTTTTGTCCGTAATTATCAATTCTGTCTGCCAGAGGTTTTTCTGGATGTTTGCACACATTGTGAAATGCATTGAAAGCCTCCAGACTTGGAGTGTAGTTTTTAATTTTTCAGTTTGTCTTTGTTATTCGGCCCCTAATGAGCTTGTGTACTCTGAGCGATGATTGTAGAAGTGCTACAACATGCCGTGGCTTCTCTTTGCAGAGAAATCGTAGAGCACATGGTCCAGCACTTTAAAACCCAGATCTTTGGGGATCGAAAGCCAGTGTATGACGGGAGGAAGAACCTCTACACAGCCATGCCCCTGCCAATCGGGAGGGATAAGGTGACGCCTTGCGGCCGTGCTCTCCTCCTTGCTCCTCTGGAGAGCACCCTGGGGCTGGGTGACTGCTGGCCGTGCTGCTGTGTGGTACTGACACGCCTGTTGCTTAGGTGGAGTTGGAAGTGACCATCCCAGGGGAGGGAAAGGACAGGAGCTTCAAGGTGGCCATAAAGTGGATTTCTTGTGTCAGTCTGCAAGCCCTCCATGAAGCGCTCGCGGGCCGCGTGCCAAACGTTCCCTTCGAGACGATTCAGGCCCTGGATGTCATCATGAGACATTTGCCCTCTATGCGGTGGGTGTTTTTCCATGTTCAGACTGCTAGCCGTAACGTGGCTCATGTTGGCTGTCCGGTATAGGGTCAGCCTGCGGTGACTAATGCAGTGTGTCCACACCCTGGCTGCAAACCCTGTCATCTTAGTGAAGTGTATCCTTAAATATGCTGAAAGAATACCCTCTCTTTTAAGTAGCGATGGAATGAGTTTAAAAACACTTTGAACAGTAAACTACTCTGATTATTTTTCAAACTAATTTATATCTGATGCTACCTTGTTGTACTATTTAAAACAGTGGTTCTTGACTGCTTTAGCGTCAGGACTCCCATTTTTTTCTTGGTCATTTACAACCCAAATTTAAGAAAATTTGAACAAAATTCATTTCACAAATAATAGTGCTGTGACAGTACAGTAACACAAATAATAATAACCTGCACTATTAAAGGAAAAATATTTTCTAAACACACTTTGATGCATCAGTTGAGAAACCGATTTAAAATAACTTTGGATTCTTTAAGTATACTTTCTATTCTGTTTCTTGGAATACTACATGCTATGATTATTTTATTTTTTGGGTGTATGGATGGTAGTTAATCCACTGTTAGGTTAGCTAGATCAGATATTTCTCACCACATTTGCTTTTAATTATTCTTTTAAAATGTTGCTGCACTGAATATTTAAACACACTCATGTTTAAAACCCATCAAAAGTGAATGTTGCCTCACTAAGTTTTCATAGATGTAACGGCTGTCCACAAGAGGGCAGTATAACGTTAATTTTCAAAGCCACAGCTGAGACGACACTTAGCTGGTTTATTTGCACATTTGTATTGATGGAAAAAAATATCTACTTATTTAATAGATGTTGTTATCTGAGTCACAGTTGAATGTGGTGTTGATGTGTGTTGTGATCTTTCAGGTACACGCCAGTCGGTCGGTCCTTTTTCACCCCATCGGAAGGCTGCTCCAATCCTCTTGGAGGAGGCAGGGAAGTCTGGTTTGGATTTCACCAATCTGTCAGACCTTCCCTCTGGAAAATGATGCTCAACATTGATGGTAGGTGGAAATGTCAGCTGCTCTGTTGGTGTGTGTGTTTTTATGGCGTGTAGCTTTGTATTTCTATTGTTCGTTCGTTCATTAATTGAATTTTTTGTTTGTTTTTTTTTTGGTGATTGTTTGCAGTGTCAGCCACGGCATTTTACAAAGCACAGCCGGTGATTGAATTCATGTGTGAGGTTTTGGATTTCAAAAGCATTGAAGAACAACAGAAGCCCTTAACAGATTCCCAAAGAGTGAAGTTTACCAAGGAAATCAAAGGTCAGCCATCTTGGTGCTTTTGATATTGTGTTTTTTAGCATGAAGTTGCCGTTTTGTAGATGGATTTATTTATTTTTTTGAAGACTTATATTTTGAATGCTTTTGAAGACAAAACAAGCTGTAACATGAATGTTAATCAGGTTCTTAATTTGTTTGGGTAATTCGCTTAGGTCTGAAAGTGGAGATCACACACTGTGGCCAAATGAAAAGGAAATACAGAGTGTGTAATGTTACCAGGAGGCCGGCTGGCCACCAGACGTAAGTGCTCACCACCCCCCTGGTCATGGTGGTCCCTGTTAAACATACCGGGAGGGGGGCAGGCATAAAGTCATATTCATATGTCTGTTTGCTTTTGAAAAACTCAGATATAACCTTTTGTTTTAAAAAAAACACACACTGGTATAATTTGGGCTTTTATTAATGAAGTTTTATTCGTCTGCATTAAATTTGTAGGTGATTTTTAGTAATTATCACTGCGTTTTTAGTGAAGCACCCCCGTTTCCGTGGCCTGTGCCACACTTAAACCTTAAGAGCGGCGTTGGGATCCTGCAGCCATCTCATCTGTCGCAGCCTGTCTCCTAGTTTCCCCTGTTTGTGTGCCCACAGGTTTCCTCTTCAGCAGGAGAACGGACAGACCATTGAATGCACGGTAGCACAATATTTCAAAGACAAGTACAAACTCGTGCTCCGGTACTCGCACCTGCCCTGCTTACAGGTCGGCCAGGAGCAGAAACACACCTATCTACCGCTTGAGGTCAGTGGCGGTATCTGAATCTGTGAGAAGCCAAGGTCGTTTTGTTTTTGTCTCAGTAATGTTTGTCTGTGAATATTCCATATTCTTGTGGAAACTGCCTTTGTTCGGTATTAGTAATGAAATATGGGTGGTATGGTGACTCAGCTGGTTGCACTGTTAACTCAGATCTCCAGTATCCTGTACTACGAAGCGGGGTTACTGGCTTATCAGATTTATGGTAGTCTGGGCAAAATGTAAGTGAACGAATATGAAGTCCATTTCAACTGACATGGTTTACTTTTTTGCCTATTTCACGTAATTTATAAAACTTTAATACTACTGACAATGGACGTTTTGAAGGGAAGACAGATTACGTTTTTTTTTTTTTGTTTGTTTGTTTCTACAATAAGATTTATAACCTGAAATACACAACAAAGATACAAGGAATCGCCGACGATGCCGTCGACCCCAGAGGGTTAAAGAACCAGCAGCGGTCCCTTAAAATGATCTTTGTGTGTGTGTGTTTTTTCTATGTGCATTAAAACAACAGGTGTGTAACATAGTGGCAGGACAGCGATGCATAAAGAAGCTGACAGACAATCAGACCTCCACTATGATCCGTGCTACAGCCAGGTCTGCCCCTGACCGACAGGACGAGATCAGCAAGCTGGTGAGCGCAGCCAGCCAGTCGGCCGCAGCAAACTGTAGCATGTTTATGGTCTCGTTCATGGAGAGTGGTGTAGCTGGAATGCGTCGCTGATGTGCGCTGTTGGGTCTTGCAGATGAGGAGTGCCAACTTCAACGATGACCCTTACGTCCGTGAGTTTGGAGTCTTGGTGAGAGACGAGATGACAGAAGTGAACGGTCGCGTCCTTCAGGCACCGTCCATACTCTATGGCGGACGGGTAAGATGGCCCATTATGTGTGGTTTTTACTTTAATAGCTGTGTAGTAAGTCCTGCTCCAGTACTGACTGCACTTGTACCTGGGCATTCACTGGAAGCTTGGCTTAGCAGCATGAATGTTTGTAATGTGCCATTTGTCTCGCTTGTATGTCGCGTTGGACACAGGCATCTGCTAAATGGGTAAAATGTAAATGTGTAGATGTGGCAGTCAGGGACCGGGAAAGAGCTGACGTTTTACTTCACTTCTAGTAATCCAATTGCTGTGGGGTGAGCTTGGAAAGAAAGGAGGTTTATTTTTTCCCCCCCTTTCTCTTTTTGCTCTGCAGAACAAAGCGATAGCTACTCCAATTCAGGGAGTCTGGGACATGAGAAACAAGCAATTCCATACTGGGATTGAAATCAAAGTCTGGGCGATAGCCTGTTTCGCTCCTCAGCGCCAGTGCACTGAATTGCTACTGAAGTGAGTGGTGGTTGCTCAGGGGTTTGCCGAGCACCAAGCCCCAGGGTCTTTGAGTGAACGGCTTCACTTTGAGAGCACGCCTTCCGCATGGGGTGCTGTTTAATCGGGTGTACCTCGTCCGCAGGGCGTTCACAGACCAGCTACGGAAGATCTCGCGTGATGCGGGAATGCCCATCCAGGGCCAGCCCTGCTTCTGCAAGTACGCCCAGGGTGCAGACAGCGTCGAACCTATGTTCAAGCACCTGAAGTACACCTACCAAGGCTTGCAGTTGGTGGTGGTCATCCTCCCTGGGAAGACACCTGTCTACGGTGAGTAACAGTCTGCTGGTCTTCCCTACAGTCGTGTGTGTGTGTGTGTGTGTGTGTGTGTGTGTGTGTGTGTGTGTGTGGTGAGTAACAATCCACTGCTTTTGTCACCTTGTCCATATTGATTATTAGTCTACCAGTGACTCTTCTAGCTTTGCCTGTGCCCCTATGTGGGCTCTAAGGTGTGCAGAAGTCTGAAAAGCCACAGAAATGACATTTAACCCCCTGCCGTCTCTGCCAATTGCTATTTCATGCTTTGTTTACTTGTTAGACAGAAATTGAACTGTCAGTAATCATTTCTGAAAACTTGTCACATCTGTATTCCCAGAATGCATTTCTCCAGTTTACCTTATTACTTATCTGATCTTTTCATCATCTCATTACTGTAGTTAACATCATACAGTGTCATTCTGAGATGTTAACTCACTTGATGTCCAAAAACAGCTTAATTTAGCCGTTTAGGGAGTGGGAAGTACAACTGGCTCAGCTGCTTCAGGGTTGGCTCTACTTCCTGGCTCCATGTCCTGAAGTCATGGCTTCAGCGTGGTCGCATTGGGTGTGTCTCCTTGGTGAGGGGTCTGACTGGTGTCTCCTGGAAAATGGCAGCTGAGGTGAAGCGCGTGGGGGATACTGTACTGGGCATGGCCACGCAGTGCGTCCAGGTGAAGAATGTGCAGAAGACCACGCCGCAGACCCTGTCCAACCTCTGCCTAAAGATCAACGTTAAACTAGGTGGAGTCAACAACATCCTGCTGCCTCAGGGCAGGTGAGGTGCCTTCTCCCCTGCTCCCACCACCTGCAATGTCTGTCTGAAAAACATCCCTTTGTCTTTTGTTTTCCACCTTCCCTGTTAGCCGCTTGATGTTAACATGCTTTTTTACCCTCCTTCCCCAGGCCTTTGGTGTTCCAACAGCCTGTGATTTTCCTGGGTGCAGATGTGACTCACCCACCGGCAGGTGATGGGAAGAAACCCTCCATCGCAGCGGTGCGTGAGATGCCTGTTCTGTCAGTCGCTGCCTTGTTTAGTAATTGACCAGGAGTGGGTGATGGTCCTGTCCACTGGGATTGTCTGCACCTTATTTTTACAGAGCTCTTCTCTCTGCCCACCCCAGGTGGTCGGCAGCATGGACGCCCACCCCAGCCGCTACTGCGCCACCGTACGTGTCCAGCAGCATCGGCAGGACATCATCCAGGACCTGGCCGCCATGGTGAGGGAGCTTCTCATCCAGTTCTACAAGTCCACGCGCTTCAAACCCACACGGATTATCTATTACCGCGACGGTATCTCCGAAGGCCAGTTCAACCAGGCAAGACCCGGTCCTCCATGTGTATTTGCCCGCCGGTTCTCCTAACCAATGGGCTGGCTTCACGTCAACATGTGTCCCGGCCCAGGTGCTACAGCACGAGCTGCTGGCTATCCGTGAGGCTTGCATCAAACTCGAGAAGGACTACCAGCCAGGCATCACCTTTGTGGTCGTGCAAAAGCGTCACCATACCCGGCTCTTCTGTATGGACCGGAACGAGAGGGTGAGCTCGGCATTCAGGCCCATTTTAACATTGGGCAGTGTGTCGCTATGGTGGAAAGTGTGCCTGCTTGATGCTTCACGCACATAAACACACTTTATATTTTGAAGGTGGGTAAAAGTGGGAATATTCCCGCGGGCACCACTGTGGACACCAAAATCACCCACCCTTCCGAGTTCGATTTCTACTTGTGCAGCCATGCAGGCATTCAGGTGCGTTTGGCTACAAAAGTGACACTTACAGTTTCCCAGCCTCGCAAACTACTGTTGTTGAAATGGTTCTCGAATTCGTAGGGAACCAGCCGACCCTCCCATTACCATGTGCTGTGGGATGACAACCATTTCACGTCGGACGAGCTCCAGGTCCTCACGTACCAGCTGTGCCACACCTACGTGCGCTGCACACGCTCCGTGTCCATCCCTGCACCCGCATACTATGCCCACCTGGTGGCCTTCCGAGCCCGTTATCACCTGGTGGACAAGGAGCATGACAGGTACTCACTCTCAAAGAGCCGCTTTCAACGCCTCACTTTCTAGTCTAGGGGTTGCCGTCAGATGGAGATTTGTGGTGTGATGGTTTGGCATATTCAACTAAATAATACAGAAAACTGTATTAAGTTTCCTGTCTTATTTTCCAGCTTGCAAAACAGTAGTGTTATACCTGCAAACTGTGCCTAATAAATCAAAATTGCTTTATTAATGTTTACATATAGAGATTTTTGAGAATGAAAGTATAGAATGCAAATATTTGCTGATCAGAAAAATACTTCTCGTACTCACCTGGGTGATGTTTTCTGGTAATTTTGGTATGTAAATGTTGTTCCAGGTTACGTATTCAAGGTGTATGTGATGTAGTTTCTAAGATTAAAGTATTGAACCAAATGAAGCTACTTCCTGTTGTAACTGTTCTGTATGTCACAGTGCTGAAGGCAGCCACACCTCAGGGCAAAGCAATGGGCGGGACCAGCAGGCCCTGGCCAAAGCGGTGCAGATCCACCAGGACACCCTGCGAACCATGTACTTTGCCTGACCGGAAGAAGGGGGCGCTGACGTTCCAGGCGAGGTCGAGCTCACAGCTGAAATGGGCCTACAGGGTGGATCCGTAGGTGCGTTCTTACCTGTGGTGTGGTCTCCATTGGTGTTCGTGAAGTATCCCACAATGCACCTTGACAAACTTTTTACCCTATGTCCCAAATGTACAACAAAGTTAGTCTCCTCCTAAGTGTAAAACTGAAAATTTGTGTAAATCAGCCAGTTCTTTTCTATGTGTTCAGATGTGTATATACATGTACATTTTTAGAAAGTTTGCTTACATAGTCTCCTAACATAGTTGTAATTCATTTTTTATGTCAAAGTAAAGGTGGGATCTGTAGGGGTTGATGCAAATTTATTAGAGTCTCTTCTGACTCACTGCATTTTTCATATGGATTGTATATTGGGGGGCATAGAAGGTGAGGGAACAGGGCTTGTTTGAAGTGAGCTGGGCTCTTTCTGTACTCCTAACTTCACACATCAGGACTGTTTATGAGCCAAGCCTTGGGATGGGGCCTGGCTGTTGAAGGGTACTTTTTGGGCACAGGAGTACTTAACATGCTCTCTCTGTACTGCTCTGTGAGTTTCACCTGGACTGTGCATCGTGAAAGCCGTTGGCCCATTCATTCCTGTCTGAGGGAGCCCCCCGGGCTGTCATTTGAAAAGTGGGACTGGCTCCCATCACAGAAACCTTGTTGACGTCTTATGACCAGAGCTGCAATGCAGGGTAGGTGTCTATTGTGGAGGCAAAATTGAGCTTTGGGGAAACTAAAAAAGACACATGCACTGCTTGTAAATCTTTCAGTTGATTTTAAAATACTGCCTTTTTCAGACTTCATTTAGTGTCATTGTCACAGGTGCAATTAAGATGTAGATCTCTGGCACTTTAAAAGAAGAGGAAGCTATAATTTGAGCCTTGCTAAAAGTCCCTATAACAGCATCATCATGTCAAAGAAGGACGGAGTTTCTGTGGGTAGCGGGTGTACTTTTTTCCTTTTAATATTACTGCATTATTACTGTGATGCCAAATTTCGCAGCAGTCTTAGTGAACTTAAGAAATGCTCGCAAAAAAATAACAGCGGGAACATGTAAGTTATGTTTTCTTGATATAACGGCAGAGCTCCTGTCCCAAGACAGGGTTTGACATGGAAGGTTTGGTCATGCTTTTTGAAGGGTATCATCACATGATCTAGTTACCTGAACTCAGTCCAGCATGGATTTCTAGCACATGGAAGGAGTACGGAACTTTTATCAACTTAATAATGGCCCTTGATAAACTATTGAAAATCGGGAATCATAATCGCAGAAACAATCTTTTGCATATTCAGCTTTTACTAAAGTGTAAATTTTTGAAACGTTACTGTAAGTGCGACCCGCCCCCTCATCTCCATGCACTATTATCCATTTGTAAGCCTGGGGGTTCTGATGGCTCACTTGATGAATTTTATGGTATTAATGCTTTTTCTAACTATGCATCATTTTAAAGCAGAGTGATCTAGCATCTTATAAGATGGACTTGTAGCTGTTTGTTTAGATGATTTGTACTGTAGGTTTTTACTTTTAGTGCTATGCATACCATATGTTCATTTCATTTCCCAGTTTGTTTCCTGTGCTTAACGCAATCCCAGCATCATCCTTATCAGCTCGGCGTTCGTTGAATAATTTCTGAATGCTTAGCGTAAAACGTGCATCTTTTCGCCGAAGGGTGTGGCTGAATGTTTGACTTGTGATACTTGAGGTCAATAGAGAATCACATCTGGCTGATTGAAACGTAGGTGCTACTTTGGCGTGGTGAGGATGTGTAGTTGAGCTTTTTTGGCCCTTAACTGTACTGATACCAGAAGACCTCGGAATTCATATGCATTTGAAGGACATGATAGGCAGAGTAATGATAAAGTATCAAAGCCTTTCTTAAGTCTTTTGTTAGTAATGTTTTACTATTAATCTGCATAACCTGAAATAGCTTGCTCTATGTTTGGGGCATTTCTGAAAATAAGTACTTGATTTCACAAACTTTTTTTAAAATAAATAATTTATTTCTTTTCTCCAGTCTGCCGAGCGTTTTATGTAGATGTGCTTTGAGTGATCCAAGACTAGGGGCAGAAACGTCAGTTCTGGAAAGGCTTGTTCGTGGCAGTGTAATTGTGTGAAAGTGGCTTTGCACTACCTCTTGTTACCTGTTCAGATGTAATGGTAACATTTACAGCCAGGTCATTTATGCATAATTACATCATGTATACAGAAGGGTGAAAGTAAACATGGTCCTCTGAGCATGCTGGCTGTGACATGTTATTTCTGCCAGCATTCTGGGCCAGTCCAAACCATTCCTCACCAGCGTGGAAAACCCACTTAGAGCGGAAAGCACAAAATTGTAATCTCTAAGCTGGCTCCCTGTGTTATTTGGGCTTGATGGATCAGTAAAGAACAGACTCAATGAGAGCAGGGTTGGTTTGGTGCATAGAAAAATGTTGAGGCCCAAAGGTCATGCAGATATGCAAAGTGATCAGATTTTAAGTGGGGACTGCTGATTTTTGTAGATGTTTTGGTCCAGAACGTTGCATGCAGTGTCTCGAAATATTTTTTAACTCATAGGCCGTTGTTCACCCCTGAATTCAAGTGGAAAAACCGGTACCCTTCAACAGTAATATACAGTAATATTTGCTTTTAAAGTTCAACACAGATCATGCCTTTTTAAAATGTACATTCTGGTATCTAGCTGTATCTTCCTGTGAGGCTGTAAAACCAATGAGTTTTTTTATTTTTCCTAGTTTTAAACTTGTGTACCCAAAAAGAAACCTGGAAACTTGCAAACCCATGTGAATGCATGTATGGTGTTTACATGTCTGGTGGAACGGGCCGTTCCTATTTCTGTGTGAACACTAGATTGGTTTGATGCTGTTAGGGGGTTGCTTTCTAAACAATTGTTAAAACCTCACTATTTTTCTTTAGATTTTTTTTTCATGCATTTCATTTTTTGTCCACATTAGTCTGGAAGTGATTATTTTTCTAATTTGTGAAGAGATTTGTTGGTGCTTGTGATTAGCAGTTGTTGTTGCAAAAATAAAACTTAGCTGACAGTGTACTTTTTTTTTTTTTATAAGATATTTTACTATTTGCTAGTGTTGTTTTTAACTTACTCCTGCACCTTAGATTATTAGATCTGTACAGTTTATATAGAAATCATGAACTGAATTGTGTGATTTGCACTATAATAAATGAACCGTGTAGATATTGCATAGTGCTCAATCGAGTCTGTCCCCGGATGCTGGTGTTCTGCCCCGTGAACATACTGATGGCCGCAGCTTATCAGCAGTACTTATTTGTAACACGCTATCGCTAAGTTTGGCTGTTCTAATTCGCTTTTTTTTTTTTTTATTAGGGCTTGCATTGTCTGTCCTCTGTAGTTGTGGGTCTCTCTTGCCAGTTGTCGTTTCTCAGCTGAGGAAAGGGGTAAATTGTTAGAGAAGAATTAGCCAGGCTCCATCTCCTGCCCTCCTGACTTTCAGCATTCAGGTCACACAGGGGCCAGTTAGTGACCGTTTACTCATGCTTGGTGCACCTGGTAGACCCAATGAAGATAATGTACCTTTGGAATCAGCAGTCAATCTGTCGGATATTGCACTGAAAGGAATCAGAGATGTAGATATGAGTGTGTGAATGTTGACAAATGGGGGATAACCTGTGGATGATGGCTAGTATCTAACTTGTTGTCTAGTGTATTCCTGAGCTAGTTTCTGCCATTTTGAGGTTGCACGGACATACACGCACACTAGCGCTTGATGCAGGCCAAATTTAGGGCTGGAATTGGAGGCCATTGTCCGCAGCGTCTGAGGGATCGTGGCTTGCCAGCCTCCTGCAGCACACCTTCAACTGTGTACTTAATAGATTTGGCTTCAGATAGTTTGATGGGTAGTGGTGTTTGTTGTTTTTCATTTCTTGAAAATTGATGCACCTTTAACAGTACTAAAGAGTCCCCATAAGAGAAGAAGCCTGACAAATCAGCACTCCGTTAAAAGTGGCTAAAAGGGTCTTTTAGATTTACTTTGTGTGTGTAGAGAGGTTACATATTTTTAATAATCAAAGCAATTATATTACCAGATGGTAAAATAGCTTATCCAATGGTATTGTTTAGTTAAATAGGGTCTTTCAGCAGAAGCACAATTGTTTTCAAGAATGGTAGCTTTACGCCCCTGACAAAGTTAGGAATACAAGGAGAATATTTTGGGTCTGAAGTCGAGCAGATGGAGGAGAGGTAGGATCTAATTTGTGAGATCAGTGTAAGTGTTTAACATCTGAATTGTGCTTCTCTTGAGATGCAGGGTCAGTGCTGCATGTGTGTTTACCTCTGTCTAGGTGCCGGGAGACTTGGTTAGCAGGCATCTGTGGGTGGAGGCATCCTCCGCAATTTTTCCTGCAGGGGATTGTTGCGCCATATCCCAATTCCCCATCCCCCAAAATTTCTTGCTTAACTCCCATCTTTGGTCTTGTTTTGGCCTGGTGTGGGTTCTTCAAGAAAAAGCTATGCAGTGGTGTGTGCATGCTTTTTGTCTCCATATATCTCTGTGTGTGCGTGCATGTCGTATCTTTGAATGATCATGTAATTGGTAAAGGCTACCTCTGGAATGAGGGTTTTAAGAATGAGGGTTTTACCTATATCATAGCACCATGAGGGTAGTTTTCTAGGTGACATCCAAGCTCGCTGTGGGGTTTTCAGTGTCCATCAGCAGAAATTGGCTGTACAGCACATAGGTGCACTGTACTCGCTACAGTAAGACATATCATAGACAGACACGGGCAACACAGGCTGCCTTTTAGAGCCAACGTTGGTGCTGAAAGCAGCCAATACAGTTGTACTTCTTATAGGTCTCTACGATTTTTTATTTTTTTTTTTTGTGCAAGGATCTCATAGAAGCATGTTTCTTTTTTTGGTCTGTTGCCTGTGCATTTTCTTGTTGTTTGGAGAGTCACTGCCAATGGGGAATCTTTGAAGCAGTTTTTAGCTACATTTTGAGTCCTGTAGTTGACTGCAGACTGGTGGCTGTGTAATATCAATATAATTCCCAGGCAGACTAAAAACAACTTCACATGTTTCCTCAGTGGTGTCTACTTATCTAGAAGGTTTCTAATCCAGTCATCTGCAGTGGAGCTGTTTGCCTGTATAAATCCATGGATTGTATAGTATATGTAGTGTTACCTTATCAGCATTTCCTTATTATAGACCTTTATTTTCTTGTCGTGATTTTACAGGTTATACAGCAGCCCATTTCTGTTAAGCAGAGGATAATGTCAAGGCCTGGCTTGACAGCCATGTCTCTGGGGAACAGTCCTCCACTGGAATATGGGTGGTTTCCTCTGCCTGTTAGTCCTGTGTGAGAAAAGTTAAAAATACCATCGATGCAACTGGTGGCTTATACAAACATGTATGTACAAAAATTCGATATGTACACCATTTTTTTGACAACGGTAGAGTCAGGCTCAATCCAGATTTTAAAAATGACACAAGATATGCATATTTTCACATTTGCACTATTAAATACTGCTGGTGTATTTTTATTTTGGTAATAAACTGCGTGTAGGATATCATACAGATAAAGCAAGGACTTTTGAGGTGCAGTGTCTGAAGACCCCAGAGTCTTGAGACCATAGTTTTTCCCTAGACATGGCAAACAAAACAATCTGCACAGATCCCCTTGTGGTACTTTTGTTTTCTCTGTAACCCTAAGATTTAACAAGCAGAACGAATGTATTAATGAAGCCGGACTTCTTATGAACGTGGGACAGTCTGCATGCATACCTGCACAGGAAGAGATGAGCTGTTATCCTTGGAGAACACACTTAGTTTTTTTTTTTTTTTTAGGCAAAGCGACGTTAAACATTTGCCACCTTTTATTCCTGGTTCCATTGAATTGAGCTGGTTAACTATTAAATAATATTTAGGATTTGCTTTTCAAGCTGTAAGAAGCTATGACTTTTGAGGAGAAAAAATATCAGTGTGAGTATTCATTTGATCAAAAACCCTTGCATAGGTTGAACCGTTTTCTGCAACTTGGCACGTTTCACAAGTGCACTGAACAGAGGTTAGGCGCCATAAGTCTGACATCAGAAGGAGTCTGAGGTGCTTAGTTTTCCAAAAACTGCAATACTACCTAATGTCCTACAACATAAGTACAATAGCTGTGTAACTCTCTTCTTGGTAATCACGATGCATGTTAGGAACATGAAGTCACCTTTGTTTTGTCTGAGTTTTTGTTAGATTTGGTGGCTGAGACATTCTCTGAAATGTGGGTCGTTTGCTCACAAAAGATAGTTGTATAAAAGCGCAGGGCATGTAATCACAAATGGAGTTTGTCGGTGAATAACATTTGTGATCTTTTTCTTTGGAATGCCAGCCAGCAGTTGTTTTGCCAGGACTGACCCATTGTTTAATCTCTCTTCTGCGTATTTGTTGGTTGGTATACCGAAAGCTCACAAAACAATGGAATTACTATAGGACTGTACAATAAGCAACTGATGCCATATTAACTTAAGTGCATAACAAAAGCATGCAAGACTGAAACAGGTATTTCCTACCTTTTCCCTTTTGTTTGAGGCATTAAGAGCTTCAGAATAACCTGGCTTTTTATACCAACTTGGATCTACCTCAGAATGAAGTCGGGTGCTAGAATTGTAATCCCTAATTTATGATTGAAAAAAATCGATAGTGACCAAACAGCAGTCAATACTGTGTATTTTTTTTTTCTTTTCTAAACAATTTGTAATTATGGACTAACTTGAGGGATGTTTTATGTAACAAGAGTTTGGGGGACCAATTTTGTAATTGGAAATCAGGTGTGAAATATTACATCTTGCATTGTACATTATTTGTATGCATGTCGTCCCTTTTTAAAATGTAGTAAATGCATTTACACTGTCTGTGACTCAACAGGATTCAAATACAGCTCTGGAAAAAATTAAGAGGCCACAACAAAATTTTCAGTTTCACTCATTTTTCAATCTATGCGTATGTACCTAATATAAAATATACATTTTTTTTTTTTTTGAAAACTGCAGCCTGGCTCTTCTCGTTGTTGAAGGGGTTCTTCCCTACTTTATGGGTCTGCACTCCTGCTTCTTGGAGCCTGATATAAACTGTCCTTGCAGTGCACTTCACACCATTTAATGTTTTCCATTCTTTTTGATGGTCACTTGAGGTGGTGATCCTCCGATTTTGAGGCACAGCCGGATAAGGTGACTGTCATCTCTGGCATTAGAAAGTTGCTTCTGCCCTTTACGTGGCAGATTTTTGGTTATTGCCAGTGTTTCATATTCACCTTGTTCTTGTGTGCTGTTGTCTTAGAAACTTTGAGCCTGGAAGCAGCCTGCCTTGCAGTGTAGCCTGCAGTGAACCAGGGTTAAACCAGGGTTTATAAAGGCAGATTTTTTTTTTTTTTTTAAATAGTGAACTCATGTTTTTTCCAGAGCTGTATACTGCAATATAAGCTTTTCTGTGGGGAGAGGATATTCAGATGCAGATTTTTTTTCCAATTTTAATTGCTGTACAGAAATCCAGGAGCTGACACTGAGCAATAATGGTCAAGAATTCTGATTTCAACATTTGCACAGTTCTGATGTTTCCCCTACACAAAACTCGCCTAATAACACTGGTGACTGCTGATATTAGTGGGGGCATTCTTAGGTTCTAGATTCCTAGAGCTGTAAATTTTGATCGCCATTGTGGATTGTAAGCTGCCAAAGGGTCGTTATCAACATATCAACTTCGGATCTGCCTAGTTTGTGATACTGTGCAGAGGAGCAGTTGGAGTGATTACCATATATAAGCACCTATTGGAAAAATAGTGACATGCTTTCCTGTAAGAACAGACATTAAATCTGTTGATCTCAGTTATTATGGGTTACTGAACATGCTGGGTTCTCCCTCGTTGCAGTGAAACAGGCTACATTTACCTCCAGCTTAAATCATTTTTGCATGTTCTTTAAACAGAAAATGAGTGTAACAAGTGTAAGATTAATTTTTTTAATGTAGTTATTTACTACATTTTATAAAGGGAACAAAGATTTGGTGTTTTATGACTTATGGGTGGTATATTTCAATAACTCAAGAGACTTTGATTACTTAATGAAAATGTACTAAGTTTGTGTGGGAATTGAGAACAAGTATGTCATCCATCTTATTTCAGCTGGAAACATCCCTTGTGTTACGTGTGCCTTTACCACTCTTCCAGTCATTTTAATGGGTATTCTACTATGACTTGCAGCACCACATTCAAGAATATGTACATTGATTATCATGCAACCTTCTTAATATGCTGCATTGAATGATCAGTATTTGTGTTTTGCACTTTCAGCGCAGTTACAAAATTGCCCAATAAGCCGGGCAAGTAAAGACGAGGTATTTTATGCTAACAAAGGAGATATAAGGAATACTATGACTTTGGAGACATTTTCTAGAGACTTTAAATGAAGTACCTCATAAGCCTGATGTATGCTGCATTTTTAAAAATTTATCCCCCCCCCCCCCCCCCCCATGTATTGCCAGGTTTGATGTTCACACAAGACTGTAAGTTTTGCCTTTTTGGAAGCATGTTGCTTATTAGTAAACACATGCCACAGCTGTACTATTCAAAATGCTTTTATAGATAGGCTTTGGCTCATAGTCTGGCTCTTTGGTGTCAGGTAGATGTACAGTTGCCTGCAAACTCTGTTCGCCATAAAGGCACATGCACCTTAAATGCTAAAGATACTCATAGTGACACTTATTGTCCTTTGTACAAAATTTAGACTATCCTGTCAATGTGACTGTTGACTCAGGTATCAACATTAAAGGGCTTTAACTGTAGGTCCTCTTTGTCCCTGACTTGTTTCTTAAGTAGCCTTGGATTTCTGGGAAACAATTTGACAGATTGGCCTGAAAGAGATTCTCCAGTATAACCCACAGAAAGCAGATGGGCTTGAGTTTTATTGTGCACTACAGATACCAAGTGGAGTCACGCCATGTGCTTTAGTCACGTCTACCTCCCTTTAACTGTTGTGGCTTGTGGCTAGAATATAACAGGAATATCACTTTCCATTCTGGATACATGCTGGTTTGTGAATAATCCCTCACCATTTGGAATTGAGGTACTTTTACTATAGAAAAGGTAACTTTTAAAGATTAGCCTTGAATTAGTCTTTCAGACACCAAATCTTCACTTTTTTTTCCATTTTTTCTGCTTATTGAAATTGTTTCAAAGGAAAAACCTCGTGTGTCATGGGAGATCAAAGTGACCAAAGTTTTTAAAAGCAGGGCAAACTGCAGTTGTGTGAACATAAGCCACCTTTTTACATTTTGATCCATTATTTTATTTTCTCTCTGCCACATGCCAAAATGGTCATTCCTGTTATGGTGAAGTCTTTTGTTGTGTTTCTAAATTCACTGCTAAGCTCATTGTTGTTGTAAAGTGAAAGTAAGTATTGATTTTATTTTTTTTTTCCTTTTAACAATAAATACAACTCAGATATGCTGTAAAACCTGTTAGGACATAATGTGAAAATGTATCACTTTATGAAATTTATAATGTAGTTCACACTTTGGGCTTGACTGTATATTGCATTAATAAAATTTAAAACCTATCCTTATGTGGTAAGTTTTCTTGCATTGGTAGTTATGATGTATATTGCACTATTTTAATGTGAAGAAATTCAGATTTTTAAACTTCTACAGAGGTACGCATTTTATTGGTTAAGTGAATTTGTCTACTGTGGTTACTCCAAAATATTCATTCTACCTTCTACAGAAAACATTTCTTTGGTTTATGTCTACTGATTTTGCTACCTGTGTAGGACTTAGCAGGTACCTAACCTTGCAGTCACTTGACTTGCAAATATATATTTAACAGCCTGCTTCAAACGCATACATGGATACATATTATGGGGTTGGCGGGATTTTAACTGGAGCAAGAATATTTCATCAAGACAAAAAGCATGAAGCCAGTGCTATAAAGGAGTGGCTCCGTTAATGAAATATCCATGCAGTGTCACCAATGGAGGGCTGCACCAAACCTGGCATGGAACGTGGGTAACAACACAACACAAAGCCGCTGTGAGTAAGCCTTGTTACCTAGAAGGTGGCTGAAATTGCTAACAAATATGCTTCCATAAAATAGTTATGGGTGTGAACGCTTACACAACCTGCGTTTTGCTCTAAGTAACATTAAATGTGAGCCAAATGTAATTTTGCAGTCGATATAAAGTTAGCAATTAAAAAATCCACCAGCAGTTAGCAATTATGGACCATATTTTTCGTTTTGAGAAACTCCGATGTTTTCGTTGTGTTCCGAAGAAACGCTCGTTGTTCAGACCTCAAATAAAACGGAGTAAAAACGAAGACTAAAAACTTTACTGATACATGCATACAATTATTTATACGTTTACTTCAGAAGAAAAACAATCCCTTTGGCAAACGCAGCCATGTTTGCGTATTCTGTCTACAACTGAATCGCTGTTAAGCGAAGAACTTTGCTAGCCAACAGCAACCTTCAATTTTATTAATGTAGTAAATGGTGAAAAAGAGGTTGATTGATGCTTATATTTAACTTTTTGGCAGTTTTAACAAACAGAAAAGCTTCGCTTTTTTTATTGTCATATATTTTTAGTCAGTGGTCATTGCATGTAGACATATTGGCGATGGACCTGCGCTGACCGTTTCCCGTAGCCGAAGGCATCAGATAGCGAGTCAGAGTTTCCAGTGTCTCATCGGCGCATGTGACTCAGCTCAGCCGCCTCTCTCGGTTCCGAACGCTGCCTAAGGTAAGCTTCTCTCCTTATCGGTCTCGGCGTGCATTTTGCCAAAGTATTGATATTATGCAACTGATACTTTAATGGGGGAACCCCAAGCACCTTATTGTCGAAGTTAGGTTACGATACTTTAATTTTTGCCGACTGTTTAATTTACGCACACACACACAGTAGACATATTTTATTAAAGCTATTTGATCTACAAGACGGCTGTGTTGTGTCCAGTAGTCATAAATCAGCTACAGAATACTTTTAATTTAATTTTTTGGCTACGGAGTCAGTTCTATGAAGCTTTGGAAAAGTCAAAGAACCGAAAATTGCTTTATCTTTCCCGAAGTGTTGGATACTTTATTAAAGGAACGAACAATTCTTGTGCTTCATGTTCACCGGCACAGTTCTTCGTCAGCTAACCGAACGGTGGAAAATTGTCTGTATAACGATGTTAAAAACATAGTTTTTCTATAAATATGGAAAAAGAGAGAGACCTCATATCTCCAAGGGGGGGTTCCAGATCCCAGCTTAGCTCTGAGTGGAGTTAAGCACGTTTTCCACATGTAGTGTGCGTTTTCTGCACGACTCCTGTTTCTTTCCACAGTACAAAGGCACACAGTCAGGCTAAATGCCATCGTTGCCTGTAGAGTATGATTGTGTGTGAGCCCTGCTATGGACTGGAGTCCCATCTGGGGTATTTCAGTTCCTTTAGTCTTATACTGCCTGGGAAAGGCTCCAGGCCACCTATGATCCTCACCAGCACAGGCAGATGGAACTAATATGGAGAAAATTATCTATGATTTAAAGCAGACACATAAAAATGGTTGACTGCTGCAATGACTTATTTCATTGTTTCAGGACAGAATGGGGTGTACGTGGCTGCATAGCTGCCTCCTGCTGCCTGTGTTGTGTCTGGCGGTTGCGGTGGACATTGAGCTGGAGCTGGGGACTGACAGGGACTGGGACTGGGATTGGGGCTCTGGCCTGCAGGAGCTCCTCCACAGCTTTCCGGCCGACAGCCCCTTTGTCACCGAGACTGCAGACAGGCCGGCCAACTGCTCCCAGCGCTTCTGGCTGCCGCCATCATCCCCCATCTGCTGGGATAATATTGTGGGTCCGGAGGAGTTCGAGCAGTCACGCCTCCTTGCGCTCCAGAACCGGGCTGCCCTCCGGGCCGTAGCCGAAGCTAGCGGGGTGGCCGAGGGAGGCGTCTCCTACAACCAGCAGGCCAGGGAGGACCAGCAGGGCTTCCGGGCAGACCAGCTCAGCTTCGAGCAGACGGCTGGAACCATGCAAAATGTTTTTCTCTCTCTAGAAGAAAAAAGGCGAGACGGCACAGAACTCTGGACCTTCTCGAGGTGAGCATCGTGATAGCCAAAGAGCCCCGCCCCACCACCATGCCTGTAACGAAGGAGTTAATGCAGTAACAGACGGCACAGACGCGCACCATGTGACGCGTGCCGTGTGACTCGTCGTGGTTTAACAGCTGGCCTGCAGAAGGCAAGGCTACTTTTGTCAGGATTATTATGCATAATGAACCACACTGGGTTCTTAAACGATGATGTCACATAGCACCACAAGTTTGGACGTGAGTACTGGGTGGAGGAGTCCAGTATGAAACGGAAACAGCTGGCTAGGCAACTAAAAATAAAAAAATCATGTAATTTTAGGAATGTACCCTAATGCTTTTTTTTGGTTGTTGAACTGAGTGTAATTTAAACATGCACTAAACATTATTCAAATTTTATAAGCCATCTCATTTTGGGGGGGAAAAAAAAACTCGACAGTTAAGTGAGTGATTTATATATTAAGGTGGGGTCACAGACCAAATTTTAGCAGAGACAAGTACTGACAATGTTTTTTTTTTGGTCTTTAAAGTTTAAAGGAGCAACTTGGTACAACAAAGGATTCCATCCATAGCAGACAGCATCTGACAGACCTTCTGGAGAAACAAGTGAATCACCTGGAAAGGTTGCTGAACACCCTGCAGCTTCGACTTGCAAAGTTACTGGCACAGTGACTACACACTGCTACTAGGTAGATGTTATGCTCAATTGTGTACAGGTGCATGCACAGCACATGGCAGCCTAGCTTATATCCCTGCCCCACAAAAACAAGCATGAGAACCATTGTTATCAATCTGTATGTTTGCCTTTGGCCTGTAGAGGCACTATTTTCGCAGCACAACCTTCTACTGTACCACTTATAATAAAATCTATTTTTGTGACTTCAGCTTTCTTATTAACCAATTGCATATTCGGCTTTGAAGCTTCTGAACACAATGGCAGGAAGCAGGGAAACTGCAATCTACCTAGTAACATCCATCCCATCTTGTTTCTGTACCCATTTGTCCTGCATGCAGTGTTGTGGGGGCTGCCTGGTAACTGCTCTCTTAAAATGTCCTGCCCCCCAGACTATTTTTGGACACTAAAATTACGTTTTCTGTGACAGTCATGATGACTGAAACGCTGACTAGCCTTAAAAAGAGTACAAATTACACACCAAATTACACCTAATATTTTATTACAAAGTTGTTAGAAGAAATGTCATAAAATATGGTTTAAAAGACATTGTACTAAACGTGGCTGCACAAATGACTACATCTAGGAACAAAACAGCTTGAGATGAGCAATTCACAAATTCTTTAGGTTAATGGCTCAAACACCAAGTCATGCATAAAATGTTGGGGTTTTAAGCATGCAAGGAATTCAATTTCAAAATATTCTTTAGCCCTTTTGTTTAAAAGCTGGTCACTGTTTTATGACATCAGGCTGTCAACTGATGTGTGGGATGCATGGGGATTTAAAATGACATTGTTAGGATGTTTTATAGGTTTGTACTTATTTTGCTTTACCATTTTCCAGTTGTATGTAACATTTCTTATGCTATTAATACAATTGTTTTGTCATCTTATTCTAGTTTTTGTTTGTTTTATATAGTGCCTTTTGAAAAGAAGGACTTAAATTATGTCATGTCTCCCTTTGAATTTTGAAGCGTACTGCTCAGTGGAATCCAAATTAGAGAGAAGGAAAACAAACCTAAGTATACAATTAATTTCTCCAGATTTTAGTTACATTGAATGTTTACCCATAGTGAGGTGGAAGACATAAGAGATGTATAACATTTTATACATAATGCTTAGCTACTGAGTTTAACAGACTTCAAAGTTTTCAGATGTAGACAAAATTTTTGCTCTCCTCAAAAGTAGATACAAAACCATATTGTCAAACACCAGCAGATACAGACAACTGCATATGGCACCGTTTTAGTGGTCCTGATGTCAGGGTGCTGGGATTAAACAGCTTCTCCTGCCCCTGAAGACTGATCTTCCCATCCGTGGTACATAGAAATACATACTCACAAATTGACACTTCAAATCAAGGGGTTCCCAGCCCTGTTCACAAAAGATGTCTATATGTGGGATTAACAGCTCCCATTAAAGCAGCAATAGCTGTGATTAGACTTTGAAATCCTGCATGTGCCAATCACTCTGTGTAAATTAGGTAAAACCAATCAGTGAAGGACTGAACACAATTTTCCTTCTTACTCATGGGTTAAACTAATCTCTCCTGGATCTACATTAAACCCACAGGCCAAGCACAGAAAGCTATATTAATTACACAATTATTCACATCTTTAAGTAGAAATAACAGCTGCATGTATATGCTAAAAAAGGATTCAGGAACCCCTCTTTAAAGCACTAGTCCTTTAAGCCCCATGCACTAATCCAAGCATTTACTATAACCCTGAATTATCCATTTCTGCGAACCCACCTGGAGAACAGTGATAATTAAACCAGTGTCATTTCACACGACTCCTTAACTGATTGTTGTCCATCTGTACTGGGCACAGGTGACTTGAGGTAGTACATAAGATCAGATGGATTAAAGCTCTTCTCCAGTTTTGAGCATCCCATGCTCTAAACATACAATGGTAATGCTTCTCTACATTCGTGCTTTTAGTCAATTAAAGGCTATCCCACAAGGCTACATTTTTTTGTTCCTGAGTATGTGACAACTCACAAATTGTACTGGGTATTTAAACCCATAAATCTGTCCTATTTAAAAGTAACACATTCCTGTACAAAAGTGACCTTAAAAAGGTGCATTTTTGCCTTAAGAAAACCAATGACAGAACATTCAAAATTTTTACAGGCAAGAAAATTCAGACATGGTTATCACCAAAAGGTTAGTGAAAGCTACTCTTTGGCAACTAGAGTATTAATAGAGTATCAGTTGATTATTCGCTTTCTGAAAGACAGGTTAACACACAATTTCATTTACATTATTTATATCCCTCTGTATCACACACAATTTGATTTCCCTGCTACACTACAGTGGTTAACAGTGAAATGGCTAAGCCAATCATCTGTATAGCATTCTGCTTGACAGTCACACTACTTGTCAAACAAATCATCCTCTAAACAAATGGTTGTGTATACATACAGGTTAAAATCCATTTTGGATATCCAGCTAGATCGGTACAAATGTGCTCATGTGTTCATTCACAAAAGCAACAAGAGAAGGTGAAGATGAAGCCCAGGATCCCTATGCAATCCACTTTCCTGTATTAATCACTGTCTTCGTCTTCAGCTCTCTCCTCCAAAGACCTCAGGTAATCCTTTGCCAAGATCTTTTTTGGCAAGATATCTGCAAACAAATTGATAAGCAGGGTTAATTAAACCAACTATTCTGAAACATAACCACGATTCAGTTGGTATTTTCACCCACTGCAGTTGCAATTGTAAAAGACCAGTCGCAACACCTGAGAACTAATAGTTCACTTAAATATTAGTGAAGGACGTCATGTGCTCGCTATGGACTAAAAAGTTTCATGTGCCTTACAGACTGCATAATGGCAACTAAAATTAATCGGAATCCAGCGTTTCGTAAACTTGCTTACGTGATGCTGTAATCGCTTTATTACAAACGACATTGCAAAATAAGATGTGCTGTTCGGCTAGCTAGTAAGCAAGCTAGTTACCGAGTATAGTCTGCAGGAATACTGTATATTACAAAGTATAACAAAATATCGCTGCCCAGCAGCACATTCAGGTGCTAGATGCTAAATCCATTGCCTTTATGTGTGGTTTCAGCTGCCGACCAGTGGCCTGTACTACGAAGCGGGGTTACTGGCTTATCGGGGTAACTTGTCAGATTTAAGGTACCACAGTTTAAATGTACTTCATATTCATTCGCTTACATTTTGCCCAGACTACCTTAAATCCGACAAGTTACCCCGATAAGCCAGTAACCCCGCTTCGTAGTACAGGCCACAGAACAGGTTAATGAAGTGAACACGGCTTGTTTACCTGACTCGTCGCCTTACCTGTGAGGAACTGAAATATCTCCGACTGTTCGGCGGCATTAGCCAGGTCACTGTACGCTAGCGTGTTTTTCTCCTTTCCAGAGCCATTTTTAAATGAACACTGTGTTAGATATTGAACAAATAGCTCCTGGAAAGAAAAATGTGAAGCAAAAGTAAGTATGCCTGCTAGCTGCGCAATGTTGCTGTTTATAAACGTGCAGTACTGAATCCAAAAGACTTGGCCTTACCGTCGCTTTGGTGGTTACAAATAAAGCGTCTTGGTTAATGCTAGAAACGTCCGGAGAACTTTTCATGATCAGTTTCACGCGTGACATGGGAAGAGAAACATTTTTGTTGTTTAATGAATGGCTGACGTTAACCTTCCCGCCCGCATTGTTAGCCGACATGTTGCCGGAGAAGCGCGCTAAGCTAAAGACAGCGCGGCGACCGGCTCGAGCGGAAGTTCGGTCTATTTTAAAACCCGTTGTTGAGCTCGCGAGCGCCGTCCTCCGTCCTCGCGCCGAGCTCTCAACTGCTGATGTCATGACACGTGACTTTGTTTATTAAAGTAAGTTGACATACATTAACATGAATGCGAAATAACACTTTTATACTTAACACTTGCATATTTTACAAAGCAATGTCTAATTCAAGACTGATTCTAAGTGTGTTCTAAGTGTGCGTAACATCCAGTACTATTCTGTGTGTGTGTGTTTCAGCCTTTCATAATCTAGGGATCCCCAAAAGAGGAGCACACCAACGTCACTGCATATATAAATGTAAATAAACAAGAAGCGGATGGCTCTTTAATGATTTCTATTTGGTGTTGGCGGGGGTCGCCTTGAACGATTTTAGTCCGCAACTTTTTTTGCATTAGCCGCATAATACAATGCAAATTATGGACAAGAAAATAACAGGAAATGATGCATAATACAAACTGTAAAGAACGTTTAATATTTTACTGAAATTAAGGTATGATATACACGGACACTAAAACTGGTACAGTTATTTGTCTAACGCGAATGTAAATGTGACCGTCAAAGAAATTCACGTGTAATGGTAATTCGAGTGTAATGACTCGAAAATATACTCAGATGATGCTTAACTATTTTCATTGAACACTATAACTAGTATTTTCATTCAGAACACTTACACACGTGGAATAACCACATAAATCCACTTATTCAATTGTATAGCTGCGCTCGTTTCTTTCCCTGTGACAAGAGAAACCTGTTATTCCCCAGATAGTTGGCAACAGTGTAAGTTATTGGGTAATTCCATTTTTCATTCAGATTTTCCATCAGCTGCAATGGATCTAAGTCAGTACGGAAGACTGATGAAGTTAGCCCTATGAACCGAGCGGGAGAGCTCAATTTATCCATGAAGGGGGTGCTTCATTTTTATGTTTACCCACATTCATGTAGTAAATAAATTATATACATTCTAAATAGAATGCATAAAGTATACTTTTACTTGTTGGACAATTCTGCTATTACAATTCTTAAAAATATGTAATTGCTCTTGGTCTGAAAATGTATTCAAAAATGCAACTCACCCGCGAATATTTAGAGATTATGATGCAGGAAGTTGTCGCTGTCATTCAAGGAAGAATATTGTTTCGTTAACAATTACAGAAAGCTGTTTGTAAGGTGAAAAATATCAAGGGGACTCGTGAGTATGGCACAGCGTTATGGCTTAGATGTTGTCCACACTACGGCATTCCCCTGTTTTAAAATATGCGATCTGAATTCTTTAGAACGCAATGGCGATTTCTGTAGCTACTCCACTATATACTATAGTTGCAGCTTTCAGATGACAGGTGTTTAAATGCTGTTTCCTTGGGAATGTAGGGGAAAATACCGCCGCATTATTGTGCTGAAGAAATCCACATGATTATGTTCTACGTAGAGGTGTTACTTATCCGATTAAATGTATTTCCAAATAAATATTGACATTTAATGTTGGGGCTCTGTCCTGAAACGCAACGATGTTGGCTAGCTTGGTACCTTGACAGTTTGTTGGTTATCACGGGCTGTTAATGTTATAGCTAGCGTTACACAATTTATTTACCTTCTTATATAACTGTAGGAAATACTATAATTCCTTAATCTGAAACGAACAGCCGTTAAACTAGTTAGGTAAAGATCATATTTATTATTGCTTTGACACAAAGATTGAGCTCCTCTACTTACAGGTTAAGGTTTCAACAGACGAGATGTCGTACTGGATTTTGGGTATATTTGTACAGGTTAATCAAGTGTTAAGCTCGTACCTATTTCTATTGTTAATGAAGGCAACATCCGTGTATGTAATCTCAGTTGCAATGATCTAGTAAACCAGGGAGAACTCTGAAATAGCCGCTGTATCGCACACCGCATATAACGTTATGTAGAGGTATTTTGGATTTTGGCGCCATTAGCCTAGGACCTCTTTTCATGTATTATTGATGAGCTCTATATAATATTCTGAGCAGGCAGATCATGTGTGTTCATTTTGTTCTACTCTTCTCCAGGTTGCGGCCAGCTGAGAGATGAGTATCCCAGACTACATGCAATGTGCAGAGGATCACCAGACCGTCCTGGTGGTGGTGCAGCCCGTAGGCATTGTGCCGGAAGAAGAGTTCTTCCGTATCTACAAGCGCATAGCCAGCATCAACCAGGTTAGCATTCGTGACTCCCAGAGGTTGCTCTACATCCGCTACCGGCACCATTACCCCCCGGAGAACAACGAGTGGGGAGATTTCCAGACCCATCGCAAGGTGGTGGGCCTCATTGCCGTGACGACATGCAACTCGGCCAAGGAGTGGCCGCAGACCTCCGAGCGCTTCCACGGTCAGAAGGAAGTGTTCGGCCCCACGCTGTACGACTCCCGCCTGCTTGTGTTCGGGCTGCAGGGTGAGATTGCTGAGCAAGCCCGCACAGACGTGGCCTTCTACTCTAGTTATGACAAATGTGAAGACGTGGAGAAGAGGGTGGAGGATTTTGTGGAGTCTATTTTCATTGTGCTGGAGTCCAAGAGGCTTGACAGGGCCACAGACAAATCAGGGGACAAGATTCCCCTACTCTGCGTCCCGTTTGAGAAGAAAGACTTTGTTGGTCTCGACACAGACAGCAGGTGAGTTGGGTTTCATTATGAAATTATTAATTAGTCCTAATTTTTATAGTTCTGTACAGCTTATGGCTTTACTACTGATTTTTACTACATTAAACCTTGCTTACTACTTCGTGTTCAAGTTTGTTGAATGACTCCTTTTTATTGTTGCATGTCCTTAAATGTTAGCAATAGAATGGGTTGTTGTTATTGTTCAGGAAGTTAAGAAATAAAGGCTGAATGAGGTTGAAGCAAGGAAGTTTTTGAATTTAAGATGTGTTTTTCTTGCCGCATAGATACAGAAAAGGTTGATGGTGTTTCTCACACGTTTGTCCAGATACTTCTGACATTTCTGCCGTTTGAAAAAAGCCACGTTTCCTCCTATATCATTATTTACTCTTATTTACTTTTGTTTGCTTGTCTTGGTTTATTTGTCTTTCTTTTTTTTTCTTTCATACTGTCCTGTGAGTGTATTATTGGGTGTGAAAAGGTGAGCCGTAGCCCTGTGCATCGCACTTCCCCATTGTTAACCTCCTCCCACCCCCAAGGCTCGTTAGCTTCGGTCCTCTTTACATTCCAGAAACTTCTGTCTCAGTGCTGAAGTGTCTTGGTTCATAGCCGAGAGCCAAACGCATCACTCTTACCTCTGGTGAAGGAAGTTTATATGATTCTTCCTGTAAACATCTGAACATATTAAAAGTAAAACCACTGATTACCTTGTTAAAATGACATCCATAAATTAGCTCAAAAGCAACTTTTATGGTGGTTCTAGTGAATAACATAGAAGCGTGTGTTTGTTTACCTCCCTTCAATCCTCACTTTTCTGTAAGTTGCACAGTCCCATTTGAGATGCAGAGGGTCATATATGTAAAGCACATGTTTAGTGTGCGTGGCATCTGTAATTATAGCGGCAGGCCTTGATAACGTGTCTAGTGCTCACAGGACAAGTTAATGGCCAAGTGTGGCAGCGAAGCCTGTGATGGGTTAGAAAGGCTCTCGGACACCAGACGAACCAGGCAGTTAAGTGTCCTTGTAAACTGGGAGTGCTGCCGTGTTGACTGGTACCTGGATTTCATACGGTAATTCATGGGTGATGCTTCGTCACAGCTTGGCTTTCATTCTTCCAGTTATGAAGGCATGAATTTGAATATGGTATCCATGTACTGGGTGGACCAAATAGTTTCCTTACATTTGTTGCACTTTGTTGCTTATTAGGTCCCTTGAAATACACTTTTATGGAATTAGACGCTTAGCCTTTTTCAGAATAGCTGGAATTAAATCTCATTGACTTTCTGCGAGTGGATTAAAAATTGTTTTGAAAATGAGAAACTATGTGTTACTAATGTCATGCAATGACAAATGTGTCTGTTACATAACTGAACAGAATTTGTTTTAATCTTCTGCTCTTTGAAAGGGCTGTTGAATTCATTCCTTTTTCCCATGACTATGGAGTGCAAGATTTCTTGGCTACATAATAACTGGAAAACCAAAAATGGGGTTGTGATATTATGGATAAGTTAGTCAATTGCCAGAATGAGAGCCCCGGTACGTTTTCTTCTCATGGCCCGAATAGCAGTAAATGTCGTGACACTTAACCTTGTGACGCACTGGGGCTCCAAGTGAAGAGGAACGGAGGTTTTGCATGTTGGCTCCGCCCACCACATTAAAGGAGAGCTCTGAGTCAAAATCTCCTTTCGAACAAAATAGCTTGATTGCATGCCCACAGTTTTGCCAACGAGTGAAACAAATCTGAAATCGGATTCAGAGTCAAGTCTCCTTCCTTGTGTGTTGTTTCATGCACTTAATAGATACTCTTATCTGGAAACATTTCCATGGCCCATAATCCACATACATGCATCAGCATTAACCTGGCCGTTGCTGATGTTGTTTTCCTGACATCTAACGGTGTGTGGGATGTTAATCAGTGCCTGAGTTCTGTGGAAACTTTTGACAGCTGATTCTTAATTTTGGTGGTTGGGTCCGGAAAGATTTTTGTATATTTCCCAATGGTAATACATGGCATATGACAGTCCTGGAAGGTTTCGTGGTGAAAACTCGTCTTGCGTCTATGAACAGATGCTGGACTCATGAGTGGGAGATTATCTGCTCCCTTCTTCAGTGGGAAAGCTGCAACGTTAAAGAAAGCTTGACTCATAACAACAGATGTACTGTGAGTTATCAGAAACACAAGGCCCAAGGAAGGATCTTTGGTTCTGTAGATAATGTTATGCTTTGTCGGAACTGCACATTCAAGCCTTTTTCCTGTCAAAAAGAAAATTGTGGGTTTAGACCAAAGTTCTCCTTTGAGATGTGTCGTCTTTCCTCATTTCAGCTTTTCGTTTTCATGTCGATACAGTAATACTGGTGTAATACTGGCTAAGAGTTTAGTGTTTTAGCTTTGTACCAAGACACTGTTGTGCTTGAGCTGCCCCTCCCTTTCCCATTGAACTGAAATGACTGCTCTCCATTCTGCTGGTGGATTGTGATTGGGCAAGATGGTAAATGCCAAAAAAAGAAATTGACGGTGCTGATCACCATGTTCTTTGCAGAAAAAAAGAGAGAGGGGTAAGTATTCATCACATTTGCTTTGCTAGGAAGTAGCAGTTCTCATTGACTGTAATCCATTAGCGTAAAAGCTGTATTTTGTTTCTTGAAGTTACATGCGATCACCTGTAGGCTGCACAGATTTTGCTGCATTTCTGGGTACGTTTACGCTGGCTCCTTGCTGCGTGCCCCCGCACTCATGC